TCTTCTGTTGTCATTTTACTGGGATGTTCTTCACATTTGCCTTTGGTTTTGGTGGGCGCTATTCCTCTTCTCTGTCAAGAGAACATCTTTAAGTATCCTTTGTAGGGCAGGTTTGGAAAAGGCAAAATCTTTTAACTTTTCTTGACTGTGGAAGAATTTTATTTCATTTTCAAAGACAAAAGAAAGCTTTGCTGGATATATTATCCTGGGCCGACAATTTTTTTCTTTTAGACTCTGGAATATGTCACTCCAATCTCTTTTGGCCTGTAGAGTTTCCTGTGAGTTTAATTGGCATTCCTTTGTATGTCAATTGATTTTTTTCATGTGCACATTTAGGGATCTTTTCCTTATGCCCAGTTGAAGAGAGCTTGATGATCATGTGTGGTGGTGAAGATCACTTTTGGTCAACCATGTTGGGAGTTCTGTGCCCCTCCTGGATGTTGTTTCCCAATTCTTTCTTTAGATGAGGAAAATTTTCTCTTATATATTTCATTAAATATATTTGTAAAACCAGTTTCTGTTTCTGCACCTTCTGAGACTCCCATAACTCTTAATTTGGCCTCGTAATAGTGTCTTTGAATTCTTGAATACTTTTCTGGCCTGATCCAGCTCTGCTTCCAGCTTTTTATTTGCTTCCCACTGGTGACAGGAAATATCTTCTAATTCTGAGGTTCTTTTTTCTGCTTGCTATATTTTATTTTGGAGACTCTCCACTGTACTTTTAATTTGCCCTACTGTGTTCTTCATTTCTGATATATCAGCCTTGATTTGCTTTATTGCTGCTATTTCTTATGTAAGATATTTCTTAAATTCTTTGAACTCTTGTATGTGCTTCTCATTGTTGAACAGAAGCTTTATAATGAGTTTTCTGAATTCTGTATTCCCCATTTTCTCAATGTCTTCCTCAGTTAACTCTGATGTTGGCATAGGGTTTTGATCCTTTGTAGGGGTGTCCTCAGTAATATTCATTTTGCCTCTGTGTCTTGTTTTGCTCTTGATCATCATACTGGGGCAGGTTTCTAAGCTGTGTCACCCACAGGTCTACAGTTTGATTTCACTTATTGCAATTGGTACACATCTCTTTCCTTGCAGCCAATTATGCCACTCCCTCTAGCGAGTTCCAGGTCTGGGTTTTTATGTTAGATTTCCACCATGGTCTCGGTAGCCCCAACTCCTGGCTCACCAGTCTCCATCTCCTGTGCTGTCGTGCTGAGGTTGCACTGTTGTCTGTACAACCTTTCTCCTGCTTCCGGTTGGAGTAGGTCCCAGGATTAGGGAGATACCAGGTGTCCTATATAGCTAGAGCGTTGATGGTGTTTATCATGCTGGGACCTGTTGGCTGCTAGGTCTGGGTGCTACACAGACCTATTTTGACCCATACAATGCCACAGTCGGTATTATTTTCCTGCAAGACCAGTGCAATCCACGGAACTCAGTGAGTTCTCGTGAGCTCAGCATATGTGCAACTCATTGTTGTCCCCTGCAGTCCTAAACCTTTGGCACAGTGTACAAAATGGCACCTGATGTACCACTACTAGAGTTCTTGATCTGCTGGCCGTTAGGTCTTAGGGCTACTCAGACCTGTCTTAGGTGGAACCTGTAGGATGCCAAGTTATTGCAGTTCACTGAGTCAGAAATGAGTTCACTCCCAGCTCAGCATATGCTCAGCCCTTTTCCTTGCCCTTGGCTTCTCAAACAAAATGGCACCCAGTTTGGCTCTTGGGGATTGACTGGGCTGTGAAATCCACCCTGTTCTCACACTGTCCATCTGGGATCTGCTGCTTTGTGTCTGCTCCTGGTCAAATCAAACGGACCCACAGGACAGACAGTTCTTTTTCTGGGTTTACCTCCCAAGCTCCCAGTGAAAGTCCCTTCCCACCTGGTTACTGGTGGAGTTCCGGCATCTGGTGGAGTTCAGATTGTCCTTAGCTGAATGCCCCTGGATTATCAGTCACAGCAACACCCACTGTTGTGTCCGCTGCTTTTCTGTGTCTGTCAGCCTCCAGGTTCCCCTCTGCTGTTGTTCTGTCCTCTCCTATTTCCTGGAATGTGACCTCTCTACTTCATCCTGATTAAATGTTAGATGTGCTCTCTTCTAATTTACCCCAGCCTCCATTTCCTTGCCTGCCTCACAGTGCAGTCACATATCTGCACCTGCCCACCTGCATGTCCAGCCTCTCTAGACCTGTAACCTCCAAACTGAATTAAGCCTTTTCTTTCCCCACAGACATTCCTCTCAGATAATTTGGTAAAAACCTTGAGAAGTGGACGAACACACCAACATACCTCCCCAAAGCCATCATTGGATTATTTTTCCATCCTTTCTCTCTCTCTGTCTCTCTCTCTCTTATTTTTATTGATGTTTACAAAGTTGATTAGGGTCTTCTCCTTGTGTTTTATGAAATGGGGGCTGGGGGATGGGAGGGAAACCACTCCCAGATTTGCAACTGCTTCAGTACCCAGGGATGGAGAATGGCCACCCGATGTCATCCTAGGATCCACAATGTGGAACATCCTCCAAGGGTTCTGTTCAAGCAGTTTTGATAATTCTGAAATGCTGTCAGTTTTGCCTCTACAAGGATGAGGAAATCCTTCCAAGAGTCTCCATTTGCCCAGATATTTGCTGTCAAAGCTTGGCTGGAGTAGTTGATCTGATTTGTTCTGTCGTCCTTCCTCTGCACTAGTACCAGATGTTCTCTGCAGGTCCCAACAGACTGCCGTATCTTCCATGTGCGTCTGGGTGTCCATCCACTGCTCCATCGTAGTCACTGAGGAGGTCCAGTTCTGACACATGTCCTCCTTGGTCAGACCACAGATCCTTCGATTCTCCCCGTAGTTGAAATTCTGAGTCCAGCGATTCAGTTAAAGGGATCCCCAAAGAAACTTCATCTGAAATGATTTAATTTATGACTTTAGCTTTGAAATAGCTGCATGAGTTTGGAAAGCAAATTATACTGAATCCATAATGATTGCTAATGGGCATGTAAAGGGATATGGTCAGATCTTTCTGTGGTTCATAAGCGTGATGATTGGGTTGACACACAATTGTGTGACATGTGCCTCCCTCCGAACCTTGCTACAATGCCAGCACTTTACCTTTCTGATATAAGAAAAGAAAAAGAGAGAGAGAGAGAGAAATAGTTACTAGAGTCAGGTCTTCAAGTTTCTTGGGGGAGGGGCAGGAAGCAATGAAGATGTTTTAAAAATTAGACAGCAATTATGGGGACAGAACTTTGCAGACACTAAACACCACTGATTATACACCTTGGAGGGGTGAATTTTATTGTGTGAATTATATCCAAAATGCCATATGAAAAAGGAATTCAAAATATTACATGCAGTGGATCTGCATCTGGATTATCAAGCAAAACCAAGTCCTTTTATTTAAAATAAGTTTCTTATGTTTACTGAGTACCTTTTAAAAGGTGTATTTTTCCTAAGCATTTTTATGTACTGTTTTATCTTTACAAAACACTATAAGGTAAGCATTGTTTTCCCCACAGATTAAAAAAAAGCATGATTTGCTCATGATCGCATAAGTGGCAGTTATACTTGGGCCCTCTTACTACAGAGCATCTTTCTTTCTCTCTCTCTCTCTCTTAAAAACTTATTTATTTTTATTGGAAAGGCAGATTTATAGATAGAAAGAGAAAAAGATCTTCCATCCACTGGTTCACTCCCTAAATGGCCACAGTGGCTGGAGCTGGGCTGATTTGAAGTCAGGAGCTAGAAGCTGCTGCTGAGTCTTTCATATGGGTGCAGGGTCAAGTCTTTGAGCCATTCCCTATTGCTTTCCCAGGTCACAAGCAGGGAGGTGGATGGAAAGTGGAGCAGCTGGGACAGTAACTGGCATCATATGTGATCTCAATGCTTGCAAGGTGGACGATTAGCCAATTAAGCCATTATGCTGGGCCCAAGAGCTTGTACCTCCTAAGCACTCACTACTTTTTCTATTAACTACCACACCCCACACACTTGAAAATAGAAAATATTCCTGGGACATTACCTGGAAACACAATGAAAATACTATTGGATGTTCCAAGCACAGAACTATGGTGCAAAATGCATTTGGTTTTCACTCTAAGAGCTCATATATTTTAATCATTCTAAGCAGTTTTGTGAAGGAGAGACAGCCTGCAGTGGAAACCTTCTATGCCAAAATATCTGAAGTGTGAAACAGAGCAAGGCATTGTAGACCAACACCTCTTCCCACTCAAGTCCCTTAGACATTTGTTAGTCTGTGGTATGCCCTTTTAAAATGTTATCAGTAAGAAAAACAGTGCAATCAGAGAAGGCGAGATAACACATATCCCACAAACATTGCCCTTATGTAGTAGATTTGATAGCAAGATGCAATAATTAGATCTTCCACATCAACTGGGACATGATGTTGCTCTTAGAATTCCTGTATGGTTGAAAAAAAAACAAAACATAAATCTTGTTGTTTTGTTCCATGAAGCTAATCCAAAGAAGAAAACTGAAGTGCATGAGATTAGGAAAGATTTGCAAAAGCATTGTTTTATCTTCACAAGATAAAAGGCAAGAGCTCCCTGTGCACAGTATACAAGAGGATCTGGTGGTCACAGTTCATGCTTTATGATAAGGGTGATATTTCCTGGCCCTTTCAAGCTACAGAGTCTTGCTTGAATGATATTCAGAAATCTAATATGGGGCCCGGCGCGGTGGCACAAGTGGTTAACGTCCTCGCCTTGCACGCCCGGGATCCCATATGGGCGCCGGTTCTATCCCGGAGGCCCCACTTCCCCCATCCAGCTCCCTGCCTATGGCCCGGGAAAGCAGTCGAGGACGGCCCAAAGCTTTGGGACCCTGCACCCGCGTGGGAGACCTGGAAGAAGCTCCTGGCTCCTGGCTTCGGATCGGCATAGCATGGGCCGTTGCGCTCACTTGGGGAGTGAATCATCGGACGGAAGATCTTCCTCTTTGTCTTTCCTCTCTGTATATCTGCCTTTCCAATAAAGAAAAAAAAAATTAAAAAAGAAAAAAAATCTAATGTGTTGTGTCCTATTAGTTGCATCAAGTACCAGCTTTTCAGAAAATGATGCGATGTTTACTCTAAGATGTTCTCCTATGCAATGATGTATTCTCTCCCCACAACCCCCAGCAAGGTCTGTCACTGGATGCCAGGCCAGGGAAGTGGAATGAAAAACTACACCCAAGGAAGCAGGCTAATTGGTTTGAAGGTGGGTCTGAAGTAGAATTCCAACTGCAAGCAACATTCTTCACCAGCAGAGTCTTGCATGAGGTGCGACCAGTAAGTTTCCTTCAAAGAGGTAGAAAGGGAGCCCAGCGTGGTGGCCTAGTGGCTAAAGTCCTCACCTTGAATGCATTGGGATCCCATATGGGCGCCGGTTCTAATCCCGGCAGCTCCACTTCCCATCCAGCTCTATGCTTGTGGCCTGGGAAAGCAATTGAGGACAGCCCAAAGGTTTGGGACCCTGCACGCGTGGGAGACCCGAAAGAGGCTCCTGGTTCCTGGCTTTGGATCAGCGCAGTACCAGCCGTTGCGTTCCTCTTGGGGAGTGAATCATCGGACGGAAGATCTTCCTCTCTGTCTCTTCTCCTTTCTGTATATCTGACTTTGTAATAAAAATAAATAAATCTTTAAAATAAAATAAGGGGTAGAAAGGAAGAACAGGTGGCAGCCAGCTAGTAATTGCCCTCGATCACTGTTTCCCTCCAAGTCTCCAGCACAGCATCCGGCCTCTTCTCCACCATGCTGTCCTTCTAACATCTGCTCTGCATGTGCCCCCTCCAAGTTTCTGTCCATGCCACCCACATCCCTGGCCATACTTTGCTCTTTCTGCAGAAGCCCGTCTCCTCATCGTCAACACAGCATACCTGTTGCAAGCTTGGCCTTCATAATTCTCCACTGACCACATTTCATCCCTGGAAATGTTCTGTAACTATTTTTCACTCTTGTGCTAACCAACTCACATCCACTCATTCAGAGGAATAACTATGTGCCAGGCACTCATCTGCTGGTTCACTCCCCAAATGGTCACAATAGTTGGAGCTGAGCCAATCTGAAGCCAGGAGCTAGGAGTTTCTTCTGGGTCTCCCATATAGGTACAGGGGCCCAAGGTCCTGGGCCATCCTTTGCTACTTTCCTAGGCCACAAGCAGGAAGCTGGATGGGAAGTGAAGCAGCAGGGACATGAACCACAGTGCCCATATGGGATCCCTGCACTTGGGGTGGGAGATTAGCTAATTGAGCCCTCATGACTGGCCCAACCTGGTTGGTTTTCAACTCACTTTCCTCCCACCTACATCTCTTTCACCAACACAGAGTCCTCATCTGTGAACTAGAAATGCCTGTCCTTGCCTCTGGAAGCTTCTTGTGAGGATGACATAAAGGACTATGCCAGAGCTCTTTGAAAACTTCGAGGCTTCTTCTGTCTTTCTCAGGTTTATGGCAATGTTTTCTTTTTTTTTTTTAATTTATTTTTTTAATTTTGACAATCCTTACAAATTTAATTGGGGTAAAAAAGGTTCAAGGCCTAAAGGGGGATATAGAGGAAGAAGCCCCACCCAGTTTCCCACCCACCCTAAGTCCCGGATGTGGGGCATGCTCTGAGATACTCGATCAAGTGGTTCCAATAGTTCACCATTCATGGGTCACTGCCAGTCTCGCCACTCCAGGCACGATGTGGTCGTTGAAGAGTCCATTGATTGACACAGTCCCTTCTAGAGTCTCCATTTGCCCAGTATTTTGCTGCCAACAGATAGCTGAGGTTGTTGCTTGACTTGTTCTGTCTTTCCTTGGTTAGGACTCTGAGTCCGGTGTCTAGACTGGGGAGATCCTAAAAGAAATTTTGAGGTATTCCCAGTCCAGATTCCTGCGTGTTCTAGTAAGCATAGGGCCCGGCACAGTCCATTGCCCCATCAGCTGGTGGTTGCAGTTGCTGGGTCGGTTCTGTCTCCACCCGTGTCCTCTTGCAGTCCGGCCTGGTTCCGCCCTGGACGCACTTGTCCCTCGCACGTACCAGTAGGAGTTGCAGCCCAGTCAGGGCGGCCCACAGTAACCCCAACCAGGCCCACCCCCTACCCTGGCTTGCCAGTATGTATGGCATACTAGCCCAGTCTGTCCCAAATGCCGTTCTGTTCATATACTTGCCAACAGGTGTTGCAACCTACTTCCATCCAACCATCTCCTCCTACCGTCCCTAACGGATGTTGTTGGGTGTCTGTCTAGCCACCCCAGCCCCTGTCCTAGTTCCCATGCCCTCCCGTGGAAGGTGATGACCCACGAGGGAGGAGCCCACTATTTCCCTCCCAGGTCGCTCCCATTCCAGTTGTGCCCTCTCCAGTTGGCCCTGTGGTTCAACTCAACGTGTCTAACCCTTTGTACCAGCTTCCGCCAGCTGATGCTACAACTAAGCCCCAACAACCCTCACCAACTCTGATTGTAGCTTGCACCAGTGGGAATAGTCAGCCCAGCCTGGTTTTCACCCAGTCTGGCCCACATGAGGTGCACAGGTGCTGTGTCCCTGCCTAGTCTGGTCTACCCCCTACCCAGCTCACGCTCCTCAGTGTAAGTTGCTGTTCAGCTAGGGAACCTCCCCTTATTCCTCTGTCAGCTCTGCCTCCTCCTTTCCTGGTTCTCACGTGTGCTGGTTGGGTGCTGCGGCTGCATCCGGCTCAGGCTACCTCACCTTGGCATTCCAACTTGTGTGTTGCTTTTGTCACGAACGGACCTGGTTCGACCTGGCGATCAGATTTACTAGTGGATGACATGAACAGATTCAGCCTGGTCTGCCCTCGACCCATGCCAGTGGGACACTTTCCATGACCTCTTGGCTGTTACCTTCCATGTTCCTTGCACTGACATGCAGGGTCTGTGTCCTGCCAGAGGAGTTGCCTGAGCTCCTCCATCAGAACCCCTCCATGTGAATGGCAATGTTTTCAACACAGCACACAGAGGAGTCCAGCCTAATGATCAGGACACCTGCGTCCCACGCCCGAGTGCTAGCTCTCACTCCTGATTCCAACTTCCTGTTTGAGAAGACCCTAGGAGGCAGTGATGTTGACTCAAGTAATTGATCCTGTTACCCTGTGCACAGGAGACCTGGAGTTGCGTTCTCTGCTCCTGGTTGTTGCAAGTATTTGGGGAACTGAACCTTTCTCTCTCTCCCTCTTTATCTCCCTCACCCTCTCCCTGTCCCTTGTACTGTCTCCTCAGATAAATCTTTAAAAACATTTTAAAAGTCCACAGAGCCTTCCAGTGCTCTCTTGACTGACTAGACCTTCTGTTTCCCCTCTGTCTCCATAATCCTCCATAAGTAGTTTCTTTCCAAATTCTGGCAGTTCTCTTTTGCAATGTCTTGCCCATACTCTGCTTGCTTTCTGGAGAGGTACAGCAATCCAACATGAACATCCATCACTGGAAAAATTAATATTAAAAATATTATAGAATTTAAAACTTTTTATTTCAGTCATCATAGCACAAGTAGAAAATTCCATGCCATGAAATAAATGCTTGCTGCTCAATTTTTTAAAAATACTCTATGAAGTTCAGACTATGTACATAGGGTGTCTATGAAACATAAATAAATTTCCTGTTTAAACTTGGGTCTAGTCCCCAAAGTATCTCATTATGTATGCAAAAATTCCAAAATCTGAAATTCTTGGGGGCTATTTCGGGGGTGGGGACAGGACAGGGCATATGGTTAAGCCATTGTCTGCAATGCCATTTCATGCCCTAGCTTCCCACTTGCGATCCAGCTTCCCACTAATGTGCCTGGGAAAACAACAAAAGATGCTGCATGGGAGACCCATATGAAGTTCAGGGTTTTGACCTGGCTTAGCCCTCACCATTGTAGCCATTTAGGGAATAAACCAGCAGAAGGAAGGTATCTCTCTCTCTCTCTCTCTCTCTCTCTCTCTCTCTCTCTCTCTTGCTTTTGCCTTTCCTTTTCTGTAAATAGTTCTGATCCTAAGCATTTCAGATAAGGAATACCCAACGTATAGCTCAGTGTCTTTTTTTTTTTTAAGATTTATTTATTATTATTTTTTTTTTTACAAAGTCAGATAGAGAGTAGGAAAGACTGAGAGGAAAACCTTCCGTCTGATGATTCACTCCCCAGGTGAGCGCAACGGCTGGTGCTGTGCTGATCCGAAGCCAGGAGCCAGGAACTTCCTCCAGGTCTCCCACATGGGTGCAGGGTCCCAAGGCTTTGTGCCATCCTTGACTGCTTTCCCAGGCCACAAACAGGGAGCTAGATGGGAAGCGGAACTGCTAGGATTAGAACCAGCACCCATATGGGATCCCAATGCATTCAAGGTGAGGACTTTTGCCACCTGGCCACCATGCTGGGCCCTCAGTGTCTATCCTAAAAAAATATGTATTTAATTTTATTTGAAAGGCAGATTTTACACAGCGAAAGAGACAGAGAAGCCATCCATCTGCTGGCTGACTCTCCAAATGGCCACAATGGCTAGAGCTGCTTCTGAATCTCCCATATAAGTGCAGGAGCCTAGGATTGAGCCATGTTCTGCTTTTTTCCAGGTGTGTATAGGGAACTGGATCAGTGCCCCTATGGGATGCTGGCACTGCAGGCTGAGGATTAGTGTACTAGGCCACTGCACCATGACCTTTCTATATCTGTCTAGGCTTTTCTAGTTGATCAAAAAAGGGCATGCAAATTTTGATTTTGATTTAATTATGCAATAGCTTTTAACTTTTTATAGAACTTTTTTTAAGTAACCAATTTCTGCTAAGCACTCTTTTTTACTTGGTCTTAGTCAGGAGGTTTGAGTTTGTTATTCTCATTTGCTAGTAAAAAAGGTTATATAACAACCTTTTCTCAGCTTTTCTCAGCTCAACAAACTGGAGATGACACAGCTTCCCAAAAAGTACGAACAGCGCAGGTCCACCCATTTTGCCAACTCAATGCAGTCCAAAGTCTGTTCAGGCGGGGTGGTTCATGTCACTCAAAATATGTAGGGACTTTGTACCTCCCTTCACAACTGGTGCCCGGCTGTGTCTCCCATGCATCGCCTCAGCAGCCCCTGCCCGCTGAGACCAGCCCCAGCGGACTATTTCTCTGCCATATACAACCTGGTCATTTTCTCTTGTTGTTCTTGGTTATCCCCACTACCGCAAAATCCTCCACCGTCTGCTCTAGTGAGAAGGAATGTGCCTGCAGTTCCACCCAACGACTGTGTGACCCAAGATGTCCTCAAGGAGTACATAATAGTTTGGCACAAGCATTTGAATCTGTCTTTTTTTATGCCATGCCTTATTTCAACTCTCTTATGATGCCTAAAGGTGAATCATGTGACTTTCCATCTCTTTTTTATTACTAAATAATGTATCTTCCAGGTGATATCATTGCCACTCACTCCTATTGTTCCACCAAGTCTGCAGGGAGCCAGACCATTCTCTATAAGAAGGTCACACCTTATAGTCCTATCTGAACTGGGGTAGGGTTTCTTCTCACGACCTTGTCATTTGGTCCCGTGTACCCTGCTTCATTTCACTTGAAGGTGGAAGTTTGCCCTGCTTAGTCAAGTCTGTGACTCTGCCATCTACTGCTTCTTCCATCCTTCCAGCTGTCTTCCTCTATTCCCCACCCCCAGAAGATCTTCCCAAGGTCAATGAACAAATTGAGCCTCTTGAATTTCATGCCTTCCCCTTTTAGAGTCTCATTAATATTGCACTTTGTCTAAACTCATAACAAAATTACGGGGTAGTGGTGAGGAGAAACAAGTCACTACCCACCAATTCCTTTTCCTGCAGGCATTTTTCTCAGAAGGTTGTCTTTGTTGAATTAACTAAAGGGGCCTCTCTGTGATGCATATTCTTAGACTATTGGCTCTGCTTTTTATTTGAAATGGCAGCCATCATTGCCCAAAAGCCCACAGCAACAGGAACAGGTAATTTATTAGCCAGCAACAAAAAGGGCTTACAGGAAGAGAAGATGAGCAATCAAGGAAAAGAATGGCCAGTGGAGCAATTGCCCCCACTTTCAAGACCCATATGAGTTGGAGCAAACAATCACAAGGGTGGAACTGGCACATTTACAGGGTGAGTCGCCTTCCACACTAATTCACACAGATGTTTATGCCCTAGTTATCATTTGAAACACTTTCTGATAGGGGGAGTTTTGAAGTCTGTGACCTGGCTTTTTGATTTACCTTTTCAATCTGGCCTACAGCCTATACCTTCACAGCAATTCCACCTCATTCTGGGCAGAAGTGGACTTTCTGGGACTACTGCTAAGTAAGAACCAGGAGCAATGGAATGACATTTCTACTCCCTTCTGTTCTCTTCCTCCAATGCTTTCCCACAGAGCCCTCAGCCCCTACCTGCTTGCTGACCTGGAATTCTATCACGTTCTCACCTTCAGGAACAATTGAATGGGTTTTGTACTAAAGGAAAACGAAAATATCATGAATAGAGGGTCACAGTAAATTCATCAGTTTTATCAATGCTGATTAAAAATCAGTTGCTCATATCTCTGAGTTCTATAGGAAAAGCTTGGAGAAAGGAAAGAAAGCATACAGAGGTCTTAGATATTGAGGGGACTACAGAAGTTATAGACGTATCCAGAGTGCAGATGCCAACAACACAATCTCACCAGAGCAGCCCCTAGAGATACCTATCTCCAGTTTTATCAACTCCTCTGCCCCATGTGGTATCTAAGGGACAAACAGCTCACTGCCCCCTTACTATCTCCAAAATGGAAGGAGGAAAGAGTAAATGAATTCCAAGTAGGAAGCCACACAAAAAGAGATGAAATCAATTGGGGTGCATTGTCTGAGGATTAGAAGGAGGAAGATATCTGAGCTCAATAAGAGAAAGACCATTGACCCTCCCTCAGCCCATTTGTCCCATCCAAGCCCTCAGTGGATTGGCTCATGCCCACTTTTCGTTGGTGGGAGTGATGTTCTTTCTCAATCCACTCATTCAAATACTAACCTCTCCCAGGACACTCTCACAGGCACACTTAGGATTAATATTTTACCAGCCATCTAGGCATTCTTTAGCCTAATCAAGTTGACACATGAAATTCATCATCACAGCTTTAGTCTGCTTTTTTAAGGTCCTTTGCAGCTCCAGCACTCCTTGGATGTGAGCTCTTTGGTTACAGATATTTCATCCAGGCCTTGTTCACGATTAAGACAGCCAGAGCTGCCTTTGGAGATCTGCCATCTACCCTTTGTACCGCTTCCACTCATCTGATTACCCTGCATACCTTGGATATGACTCTCCCATAGAACCTCACACTCAGCTACTTGTCAACAGTGTCAAGGTTAAGAGCCCAGAGTCTGGAGACAGAATGTCTGAGTTCAAATGCTGGCTCCAGCCTTTATTTGTTATGTGACCTTGCATATGTTATTCAACCTCTCAATTTCCTAATTTTAAAATAGAGGTGATCATAGTACAACACCATCTCATAAGATAGTCTACTAGGGTGTGATGGGTGGGAATGATTTCTAGCCTCCAACACTTAGCACGGTGGGCAGGAGATCTTCCCTATCCTCCATCTTCCAGTGAGGAGCCTGCTGCAGTTGTTAAATATATATATATTTTATTTCAAGTTAGCAGTTTATAATATTCAAGCAAGATTTTACAGAACTTCATGCATTCTAAGGCAATCAAAACATTCTTATAACTCTAAAAAGCCACATAGTAACAATTGAAGAGTAGAACAGTCTTAGGCGGGTAAGCAAAGAAATCTCCAATAACTTAGCAAGTAGAAGAATAACTGAATTCTACATCCTACCTAGTGAGGGCTAGGAAAAGCCAAGTCGGGAGCCTGACCAGTAAGGTATAGGCTGAGCAGTTATAAGCCAACTGACTTCTTCCTGTCTGTTCAAAACTTTCTATATTAGTTTCTCTTAGTCAATCTGAGCTAATCTGGGGGTTCCTGAGCAACCCTGATGGGCAGTGTAAGAAAGGATGGAGAGCCAAAGCTGGAACTAAGTAAGGACCAGAGAAAGATCCTCTCCTGAGTCCAGAAGGAACTTTATAATTCATTTATCTCTGAGGACCTGAGAGCTCCTGGCTGTTGTTTTGATTTCACCAGACCCTATGACGAGGGCTCTGGGCTGCTTCAATCCTGTGTGGGAAATTCGTTAGGAAATGAATGACCTCAGAGTGCTCTGCCTACTAGGGCACTCAAATTCCTTGTGACCTCCTTGGCAGTCAGGATATGGTCCTTGGTGCCCATACTGACAATCCTTGATGAAGTATCCACTGCCTCTGTGTCAAAAGCACTTGGGAGGCCTCCGGGGATCTCACTGAGACTTGATACAGGCCTCGTCCTATCCTCCTTCTCCGCTTTGGGATCCCCTCCTGCTCTGTACGCATGACTTCCTGTTAAGAGGCTGTGTTGACTTGGTTTTGAAACTGGGTAAAATAAGGACTTAGGAGAAGATATTAAAAATAAGGCAAGGGGTGTGGGATGTCATTTGCAGAGTAAAGTCTGAGTCCTAGAAGGCTCAGCTCAAGGTAAGTTACTGAGCTTGGCTGACTTGGACTATAAAGTATAAGCAATGAGATTAGTTTTGGAATTTACTCATGCTGGTTTGTAAACAGAATATACTTCACCTAGTTTTCAGAAAGCAATTTTAATCGATAGTTTCCCAAGATTTGTATTTTTCTGATGGTATCTGTAACTGACATTAGAGTAACGCTTTCTTTTTCCTATAAATGATTTCCTGAGATTCACAGAAGCCTGAGAAATAGAGCAGATAGCATGTGCCCCACTAAAAGAGCAGTCACTAACTTGCTTCACTGGGGACTATCCAATGCCTGAAAATTTGGTGATTCTCAGGGAACTCACACGTTATTAATGAAGTGGTAGGCAAGAGGGTCCTTCAGATTTTCTTGTGTTTCCTGGTGTCTAATTGTAAATCATAGAGCTTTTAACATCTAACTATAATAACTTATACTAACTGGGTCTACAGAAATTGCTGTTGTCACAAAGAATGTTTTGCTTCATTTATTTCAAATCCCTAAGATAGCTGACTTCTATAATTCACAGAGCAAAGCAGGACTAGAGGCATACCAGAGACAACGTAGAAGATACAGCGATGTCCCTCTCACACAAAGCTGTAACATGGTAAGCAGGTCATCTCGCCTAATTGGAAATAACCATGGTTGTTTGACCATAAATTGGGATTCCACTTAACTTTGCAGACTACGTGGTGCAGAAAGAATGAGCTTTACTTTGGCAATTCATGAGTGTACTCCCAAAGGATATGCAGAATCTTTTGTTGTTCATTGTGCTCATGCAGCCTTAACTTTAAAGGGAATGTTTAACAGTTAAAACTGATGCATTGAAATGTACATCTGAATATAGATATGGATTCACAGAATAAATACATGACAGCTGGGGCTTCTTTATTAAATTCTAGACAAGAATTTGCTTGCTGGTCACCTCGTTTGGTAAGAGTAAACGAATTGTATCCATTCATCACTAAATGCAATTTCTGTGAGACTTTCTCATGCCTGACAACAAATCAGGAAGCACTCTAAGAGAATGATGGAATTGCATTTTGGCAAAAGCTTTGGGGACTACGCAGATGGGAAATGAGAGAAAAGCCACATGGATAAGAAAAACCATGAGTTTTCAGCACATAACAAAAATATAAAGGAAAACTCTCTCGGGAACCTGGTGGGGTCACTTGATTCAACAACAGTGATTTATTTTCCATTCAGCAAGGGTTCTAAACTTTGGGGCTAGAGGGAGTTTTATGACATATGGCTCTCAGCACCAGCTGTGACAGGGAAAAGGGGCTGTTGATAGAATAATTCTGACTCAGATAATGAGACCCTTAGCTGGATGAATCTAATGGCTTCACAGGAAATTTTAAGGTGGAAGTCAGCCAACAAACCCATCTTCATTTGTTCTTTCCTTTTAGTTGGTCCAAACAGTAGACATTTATTTATTTCTCAAAAAAAATGTTTTTTAAAGAAATGTTATCGGATGATGTCATATAATGGGCTAGCCTGTACTTCAAACCAGGCAAAAAGCTTTAAAATTGCCATCTTCCTTATTGATTTATGCCTTTCTGTCATGGTCTTTGTTATTCCCACTCAGCATTATGTCAGGACCACTGAGGGGTAGGGGATTGGGTCAGTAACTAGAATCACTTGATATGTGAGGGAAGAAACATCTGGGTTTCTGTGGAGGACGGTCTGGCATGCCAGATGAGGAACACGCAATAGCAGGCCAAAGATGTTTTCTAATTTGCAGTAGGGTGTGTTCAGATCTGTACTTCCAGAAGTCACTCTGTTGACAACATGGAGGACAGATTGGAAACGAGAGGCAATAAACTTTGAAATACCACTTGGAACATTCTAGAAATAAGTTGAGAGGAAACATGCTGAGAACCTGAACTAGGACAGTGGTGGTAGGATTACAAAGAAGACAGATTTAACACTTAGTTACCAGGTCTTCTTCCTTCTCTGAAAAAAATTTTTTTTACCTATTTAGGCAAATGTTTCAATAATGTCCTTTATAGCATTTCATTTTCTTTCAGTCTGGGATCTATTCCAGGAACAGATATTGCATTTTATCACCATGTCTCTTTTAATCTGGAATAGTTCATCAGCTTTTCATTATCTTTCACAACTCTGACATTTTTAGAAAGCATAAGTCAGTCATTTTATAGACCATTTCTTAATTTTGGTTCATTTGGTATTTCCTCATGATTAAACCCAGATTGTGCATTTCCAGCTGGAATACCACTTAAGCGATGGTGTAGTTTTCTCAGGGTCACAGCTGGAGGCCGCCTGACATCCATTTGCTCCTCATGATCATCATTAATCTACAAATCTTTTATTATTTTTTTTACTTTCACTTCTTTTTATTATTATCATTTTATGATACGGTTCCATAGATCCTGGGATTTCCCTTATCCCCCCTCCAATTCCCACCCCACTCCCTGAGTTCCCCTATATCATTATTATAGTATATATAGTTCTTCATAAACAATCATACATCCATCATTGCAGGCATGGACAATGGCAGAGAGTCCAGCATCCTATTGTCAAGATATAGTAAACAGTTTCCTTGGGAGTCCATCTTTGTCTGGAAGTAGAGATGCATACTGCATTGTATCCTCACATCTGGATTAAATAGCCTCCATTACACAGTTACTATATATCCCCTTAAATGAAGAGTCACAAAGCATAATCAACAACAGGAAGGAAAAAAAAGAAATTAACAACATTGTGAAGTTAAATAACATGCTACTGAAAGACTAATGTGTTGCTGAAGAAATAAAAAAGAAAATCAAGAAACTTCTTGCAGAAAATGATGCTACTGTATGATCTATGAGTCATTGAAGAATTTAATCAGAAGAAAGTGTTTTGAAGAGATCAAACTAACAAAAAAAATCAAAATCTGTGAGACATAGTTTCCACTGATCTTTGCTGGTGAGAAATGTCTCTTGTAGGCAACAAATAGATGGGGTTTGTCTTTTAATCCAGTCTACTAATCTATGACATTTGATTGATGAATATAAGCCATTTACATTCAGGATTAATACAAATAGGTGATAATTTGTTCCTGTCATTTTAGGGATGGGGTGTTCATTGATTTAGTCTTCTGTTGTCATTTTACTGGGATGTTCTTCCCATTGTCTTTGGTTTTGGTGGGCACTATTCCTCTTCTCTGTCAAGAGAACATCTTTAAGTATCCTTTGTAGGGCAGGTTTGGAAAAGGCAAAATCTTTTAACTTTTCTTGACTGTGGAAGAATTTTATTTCATTTTCAAAGACAAAGGAAAGTTTTGCTGAGTACATTATCCTGGGCTGACAATTTTTTTCTTTTAGACTCTGGAATATGTCACTCCAATCTCTTTTGGCCTGTAGAGTTTCCTGTGAGAGGTCTCCTGTGAGTTTAATTGGCATTCCTTTATATGTCAGTTGATTTTTTCATGTGCACATTTAGGGATCTTTTCCTTATGTTCAATTGAAGAGAGCTTGATGATCATGTGTGGTGGTGAAGATCACTTTTGATCAACCATGTTGGGAGTTCTGTGCCCCTCCTGGATGTTGTTTCCCAATTCATTCTTTAGAAAGAATTTTCCCTTATTCTTTCATTAAATGTATTTGTAAACCCAGTTTCTATTTCTGCACCTTCTGAGACTCCCATAACTCTTATATTTGGCCTCTCAATAGTGTCTTTGAATTCTTTTTTTTTTTTTTTTTAAGATTTATTTTTATTATTTTTTCATTGGAAAGGCGGATATACAGAGAGGAGAGACAGAGAGGAAGATCTTCTGTCCGATGATTCACTCCCCAAGTGAGCGCAACGGGCCGATGCTATGCCGATCCGAAGCCAGGAGCCTCTTCCGGGTCTCCCACGCGGGTGCAGGTTCCCAAAGCTTTGGGCTGTCCTCGACTGCTTTCCCAGGCCACAAGCAGGGAGCTGGAAGGGAAGCGGGGCTGCCGGGATTAGAACCGGCGCCCATATGGGATCCCGGGCGTGCAAGGCGAGGACCTTTAACCACTTGGGCCACCGCGCCGGGCCCAGTGTCTTTGAATTCTTGAATACTTTTTTTGGCCTGATCCAGCTCTGCTTCCAGCTTTTGGTTTGTTACCTCCTGGTGACAGGAAATATCTTCTAATTCTGAGATTCTTTTTTCTGCTTGCTTCATTTTATTTTGGAGACTCTCCACTGTACTTTTAGTTTGCTCCACTGTATTCTTAATTTCTGATATATCGGCTTTCATTTGATTCATTTACTGTGTGACATATTCCTTGAATCCCTGGAATGCCTGCTTTACATTCTTCTTATTATTGATAAGAAGTTTGATAATGAGTGTTCTGAATTCTGTATTCCCCATTTTCTCAATGTCTTCCTCAGTTAACTCTGATGTTGGCATAGGCTTTTGCTCTTTTGCAGGGGAGTCTTCAGTAATATTCATTTGCCTCTGTGTCTTTTGTTGCTCTTCGATGTTGTACTTCTGGTAATCAGATTTTTCTCCTTGGGGCAGGTTTCTAAGCTGTGTCACCCACAGGTCTACAGTTTGATTTTACTTATTGCAATTGGTACACATCTCTTTCCTTGCAGCCAATTATGCCACTCCCTCTAGCGAGTTCCAGGTTTGGGTTCTTATGTTAGATTTCCACCATGGTCTCGGTAGCCCCAACTCCTGGCTCACCAGTCTCCATCTCCTGTGCTGTCGTGCTGAGGTTGCACTGTTGTCTGTACAACCTTTCTTCCACTTCCAGTTGGAGTAGGTCCCAGGATTAGGGAGATACCAGGTGTCCTATATAGCTAGAGCGTTGATGGTGTTTATCATGCTGGGACCTGTTGGCTGCTAGGTCTGGGTGCTACACAGACCTATTTTGACCCATACAATGCCACAGTCAGTATTATTTTCCTGTGGGACCAGTGCAATGCACTGAGCTCAGCATATGTGCAGCTTACTGTTGTCCCCTGCAGTCTTAAAATTCTTCACCACACTGTAAGAAATGGTGCCTGACATGTCCCTACTAGAGTTCTTGATCTGCTGGCCATTAGGTCTTAGGGCTACTCAGACCTTTCTTGGGTGGAACCTGTAGGATGCCAAGTTATTGCAGTTCACCGAGTCAGAAATGAGTTCACTCCCAGCTTAGTACATGCACAGTCCTGCCCCATAGCCCTTGCCTCCTCAAACAAAATGGTGTCCAATAGCTCTAGGAGGCCGACTGGGCTATGAAATCTACCCTGTTCCCACACCACCCATCTGGGCCCTCCCATTCTGTCTCTGCTCCTGGTCAAATCAAACAAGCCAGCAGGACAAGCAGTTTACCTCCAGAGCTCCCAGTAAGCATCCCTTCCCACCTTGTTCCTGGGGGAGTTCTTGTTGCTAGTGGAGTTTAGCTCACCAATGCCTGAAAACCACTGGGGTATCAGTCGCTGCAACACCACACAGTTGTGCCCGCTGTTTTTCTGTGTTTGTCAGTCTCCAGGTGCCCCTTTACTGCTATTCTGTCCTCTTCTACTATCTGGTATGTGCCCTCTCTGCTTCACACTGGCTAATTATTTCTTTATCTGTTTAAATGTGTATTGTCCTATTCTGCCATCTTGATTTTCCAGTCTTTTATTACTATTAGAAGCAGCAACATGTAGAGACAAATACACAGAGAAAAATCAGAAAATTCACTGGTTCATTTTCCAGCTGCCTTCAAATGTAGGTACTGGGCTGGGTCAAAGGCAGGATCCAGGAATTCAATCCAGGTCTTCCATGGGAGTGGCAGGAACCAAACTACTTGAGCCATCCTTATTGCCTCTCAGCGTCTGCAGTAGCAGGAAGCCAGAGTCAGGAGCCAGAGCTGGGCAGCAACCCATGCCCTCTGATACGGGACACAGGCATCTCCCAGCAGCATCTTCACTGCTTGGCTAGACGATTGCCTCTATGTCAATCTTAATTTTTCAGTCAGGCTGTTGGTGTCTCCACACTATAATACCCCCACTTCCATTCCTGTTACCAGTAAGCACTGTTGGGAAATATTTTAAGACCATCCCTTGATTTAGTATTATCTGATGATTCTTGTTTAGATCGATTTTTACCATGATCTTTGCAAAACAGTCATTTCCCAAATTTACCATCTATCAGAATCTTTGTTTTCAACTGGGCATTTTACTTCTTGACCCAGTTTTGTGCTGCTGTAGCAGAATACCTGGGTATTTTTCACAATTGTAAAGGCTGGGGTGCCCCATATTAAGGAAACTATGTCTCACAAGGTTCTTATGGCTGGGTCATTACAATGTGGGAAGAAGGGCGAGAGAGGGAGTGAGAGAGAGAATCAGGAGGGTGGAGGATAGAGAGAAATCTCATCCTTTTCTCAGGAGCCCACTCCTGTGGTTAACTAATCCACCTCCATAGTAATGGCATTAATCATGAAGGTTCTGTGCACATGATTTCATCCCCTCTTAAAGGCCTCACCCCCTCTACACTGTTGAATTGAAAGTTAAGATTCCAACATATGAACTTGAGGGAAAATACATATCCCAATCCAGTTATAGTTAGTGAATAAATTCTTCTAGAAGTGTTCAGTTGAGGCTTCCAATGATTTCCTTAAAAGCATAGAGATCAGGCCTGGCACTAAAGCCTAGTGGCTAAATTCCTTGCCTTGCATGCACTAGGATCCCATATGGGCATCGGTTCTAATCCCGGCGGCGGCCCCACTTCCCATCCAGCTCCCTGCTTTGTGGCCTGGGAAAGCAGTTGAGGACAGCCCAAAGCCTTGGGACCCTGAACCCATGTGGAAGACCCAGAAGAAGCTCCTGGCTCCTAACTTTGGATCAGCTCAGCTCCAGCCATTGCAGCTGCTTAGGAAGTGAATCATTGGATAGAAAATCTTCCTCTCTGTCTCTCCTCCTCTGTATATCTGACTTTACAATACAAATAAATAAAAACCTTTAAAAAAATAAAATAAAAGCCTAGCCATCCATGGGGTTGGGAGAGCAGGTGCTCTTCTCTTTCTCTTCTGGGAAGAATGTGGTATAAGAAAAGAGTGACAGAGAGATGACCTGAGAGACACTGGAAACCGCTAGGTGTACAAAGCAGCTACCAGTTCAGAGTCTGAAAAATCAAACATGAACACACAGTGAAGCATTCAAAGTTAAGGAGAGGAAGGAGTTTAAGGAGGATGGAATGTGCAGTCCAAGTATCCTAAGGAGGTAAACTCTTAAATGAAATAACTGAAAAGCCTCCATCAAATTGACCAGGAAGTGGTCAAATTGGAGTTTCAAGAGAAATTTTGTTGAAGTGCAGGGCAAGCCTGCACTGCAACAATGACAAAACAGAGGATAAAATATAAACATTAGGTTTTGATGACCAACCTTTCTAGAAAAGAAAAGGCATAAGATTGAGCTGTAATTAACCCTCAGACTCTCTCCGGAGGGCAGAGGCAAACTATCTCGTTCAGCTTGAATCTCGAACCATTAATGCATGCTACATACATGGTAAATGGTGCATAAACATGAGCTGAATGCAAATTAGATGAAAAAAATTCCTGCCTTGGAGTTCTCACTTTCAAGTAAATAAATGAAGAGTAA